GGGGGGGGGGGCACAGGGGAGGGGCCAAAGGCCGGTGAGCGCCCCCCTCTCCTCCAACCAGTGTCAGCGTGAGGACCGGGGGGCGGGGGTCAGCGCGTGGAGCGCGGCACAGCTGGGCCCGCCTGGCACACAGGGAGAAAGGGCACCCGCTGTCGCGGTCATAGCTGTCAACACCAGGACACCACCTCTCCAATCAGGAGAGGTCCTTCACGAACGTAAGGACAATGTCCTTAAGGACCCAGTCACAGATTATAAGTCCAGAAGATCTTTCGGCCCCGACAGCTTGCCAGATCCACTCAGCTGCCAGGGTCTGGGAATGCGGCCTCCGTGGGGCCAGGAAGGCACCCAGGGGCCCGCGCCCACACGGGTGGTCCATGAGGTCCTGGTCCTCCGGGGAGCCGTGTGTGCAGAGGCAGGAGAGGCCGTGGGTAGGGGCAGGATGGGGAGCGCCTCCGCCCCGCTCCAGAGCCAGGCCCGTGGGCCTGTTTGGGACACAATGGATTCCAGTCCCAGCTCCAAAATCTCTGGGAACTACCTGGGCAAGTGATTGACCTCTCTGAGCTGGTCTCACCACCTGTCAAATCACCTACTTAAGTGGCCGCGGATACTGGGACTGAAAATGAAGGTCTCAAGGAGGTGAAACTCAGAGCAGAGTGTGACCCAGTGAGCGTCCGGCCCGGCTCCTTCTCTGCCTCAGAAACGGACTAGTGCCCTGCCTCTACTCTCCTCCGTGGAGAAGCAACTTACGCCGGTCCACAGGCTAGCCACTGGCGGTTCCGACCAGGACTAGTGGGGACAGATGACGCTACTGGACCCTGTGTGCATCCAGTTACCCGTGATCTTGGCATCCTCTAGTCTTTGAGGTCACAGCGGGCACGTGCAGTGGCTGTGTGCTGACCCAGTTCCCCTGCCCAGGGCAGCAGGGCTCGGTTCTTGTCATTAAATCCAGCCAGTCCAGACCTTTCCAAGTCTACCATCATCCATGTTTTAGGACCCCAAACTTAAAGCCATTAACTGCCCTATGTCAGGATGACCAATTTAAAACCTCCTCCATTATCTTGGTCATTCCTGGCAGTTCCCCAAAAGCTGGGCCCAGGAGAATTACTTAAAAAGGTGTGTTGCACGCAGCAGAACAGGGTAAAGATGTTATGTGCAAAAAGATGTAAAAGTCTTCATGAGATCATTTTGTGCCTCTGCAGTTTTAACTTGTAAAACGCAGCGAGGACCTAAGGGCACCTGAGGGCTCTGTGCTTTCCCAGCTTCGGTGTCTCCGCTGCAGACACTGGCGGGCGCGGTCTCCTGGCTAAGGTAACTGGATGCATGGTGAGCCGTCTGAAACAGGAATAAACTCGGACTGCTGTCGGCACAGCCTTAAGCGCTCACGTCCTGTGCACAGAGGTCACCGTCACACCGACTACCCGGCCTTCTATTTGGCACACACACCTTTTTAAGATCACCAGAGGGCTCGGGAACTTAGTGGTACAGAAGTTACATCTCCGTTTTATTTTATAGCGTGCAAATTGGATCTCAAAACAAAAAGGAAAAACCGGAAAGAACTCAATCAGTCTCGTACCTGGAGAAGTCGAGAAAGAAAACCCCCTACCTGGACTGCGCTGCCTGCAGATCTGAGTGGCAAGGTCCTGCACGTAGCCAGGAAAGTAGTCAAAACAGTCTCCATAGGACACGACTTTAATCCCATGCAAAAGCATGTCTGCTTGGTGCTTGAAGAAATGGTCTTCACTCTCCTTGAGCACGACCATGTAGTGCTCCAGCTCCACCCTGTTGGGCACCGAGTACAGGAAGAGGGCCTGGAAGATCTGGTCACGGAGGGTCTCTCCGCAGCCCACAAACAGGAAGGACTTGGTGCGGTACAAGTTCTGGAGGACTTCCTGTGGCAAAACCAATGAAGAGCCTGGAATGCTCATCCGAAAGACAGTGAGATCCTCAGCCCGACCGCCAGCTACGGGTTACACCTTTAGAAGGTGGCTCAGCAACAGGCCCTTCCCACCAGCCACGCCGGGGACAGAGTGAGAGAGGCAGCGCGCACTCCAGACGTGCTGTTCACGTCAGCCCAGCGCCGCAGGCGAGCAAACAGAGGCCCACGCTGAGCGGACGTCCCTGCTCGGCGCTCATGGGAGCCCCTTCCTCTCCCAGGTGGGAAAACAGGTGTAGATCCCAGTCAGGTCCGGTGTAGATGTGCTTCCAAGTGAGGAGAGCCTAATGCCCACCCCACCCAGCCAGCCGGCCACCCATCCTGTGGTACAGCCCCTCAACTCAGATCTTCTGGGACTGTGCATAATTTTAAATTCTTAAAACACGAAATAAGGACCTTCCATGTTTCTGTTCAGAATTGTGCACATGCAACGCTCGGGAACTGATGTGTCTCCACGGATCACAGGTGGGAGCCAGGGGGCTGCTGTCAGGAGAACCGGGTTTTCGGGAGTGAGGGCAGAAGAGCTGAGGGAGGAGGGGACCCGTGACAGTGACCCAAGGGAGCAGGGCAAAGGGGATGGCAAAGATTCAGGGGGCCACTCAGGCACGCAGCAGAGAGTCACCGCTTCAGACATCCAACACCTTAGCAAGAGGGCCTGTGTCCACCCAGGCCTCTCTCAGCGCCCAACGGCATCCAGTCACCCGCCGGGCCACGCCTGTGCCGTGCCCGGGCCCCAGGCCGGATCAGCACAAGGACCAGAGTGCCGGACCCTAGATGACCAGGGACTCAGTGAAGATACCAGGGTTTCTAAATGCGCTAATAAAAGACTATAAAAAGCTGAAAAGCAGCTTTTCCACTCTTCATCTTCTCCAGGATATCAAAAAAGCTTCCCAGAGAATGAAGCTGTAAAATGAGGTTTTGAAAGTGAGAGAGATTGCCACGCAGAGAAAGGAGGTGCCTGAAGCCATGCGCGCACACACACGCACACGCACACACATGCACGCAAAGGAGGCGGCAGGAGCGGCCCGAGCGAGTGTGCACGGTTGGTGTAGGGCCCCGCAGGCCGCCCGGGGCATCTGGCCGAGGCACCAGCGCTTGGAGACACAGCTGCGACCAGGGCCAGCTGTGTGCACTGCGGGGCGGGCGGGCCTAGAGGCCAGGAGACCGCCTGGACGGCCACCAAGTACCTAGTGGCCACCACGTCCCAAGGGACACAACCAATGCCTAACGAAGGCGGGCCATACCATTACTTCTGGGTCCTGCGTGACATCTTTATACCCCGACGGGTCCAGGACCATCCCGCAGGGGTCCGTGTACAAGCCGTGAATATGAAGAACGCCGTATTTGATGTGCCCTCTCGCCCACTGAAGGACCTGTGAAAATCAAGCCAAGACAAAGGGGAAAACCACGTGTTACTTAAAACAGAAGAGAAAACTCTCTAAACTGGATACGTGGTCTTTCCGACCTACCTCGGAGAGAACAGGGAGCTGCTTCGCTTCACAATGCTACCCGCAGGGCCCAAGCGCAAGCGGGCTGCTGGGGCGGGCGCTCCCGTCAGGCCGGCGGCAGAGACAGACAGCCGGGCGGAAACCACCCCTACCCCCGGGGCTGCAACACACTCTCGGGACTGGTGACTTTAGGGGACTGAGAGGATACCTTCTAAGGGACACATTGTGCTTTAATTCCTGCTGTGTATATGTTGTGTTTAAACCCAGAAAAAAAGAGATACAAAAAAAAAAAGTAACTTATCAAATAGCTCTATACCGATTTCAAGCTCTAGAACAAAAGTCCTTAAAAAGAGGCACATCCTGGGGCGCCTGGGTGGCTCAGTCGTTAAGCGTCTGCCTTCGGCTCAGGTCATGATCCCAGGGTCCTGGGATCGAGCCCCACGTCGGGCTCCCTGCTCGGCGGGAAGCCTGCTTCTCCCTCTCCCACTGCCTGTGTTCCCTCTCTCACTGTCTGTCAAATAAATAAATAAAATTAAAAAAAAAAAAAGCACATCCCACATGCTGCAGTTTGTCCTCATGCCAGGGAGGCGGGCGGTCCCCACAGCGCCGGATACCTGGACAAACTCCGGCAGCTCAGCTGGTACGACCCGGACAGATGGGCCGGCCGGCACCTCCGCCATAAGCCCTTGGCAGCCTATTTCCAGAGATGCTCTTCCCAACAGCAAGCAGGCCTCAAAGAGGGGACCGGTCTTGGGGGTAGAGAGCAGGTGTCCCCTCACGTGTCACTAACAGCTCAGGAGAGGGTGTGACCCATGGCCGCACCGGCACCGTCCCCGTGGGCTATCCCACAAGCACGTGGCCACCTGCCAAGCTCTGCGACGGGAAAAGAGCCGCAGAAGAGAAACTCAGGGTCTGAGCCGGCCACAGTCACTCTCTTACTCGGGGCCTCAAGGGGGCGCCATCTCTAGGCCTTGGGTTCCTGCGAGGAGGGTGGGAGACCACCCTCAGGGCAGAGCGGGGGCTGCGGGGTGGGGGGTGCCCAGTATTAGTAAGGACATAAAATCTTGAAGCAAATAGCAACGGACACAAACAGGTCACAAAAGAAATGTAGTCAATAACATGAAACCATGATCAACCTTAACAAGGAGAGAAACAAAAATGTAGAATGTTCACCAATTTTCACCTCAATGGGAGAAATGTGTTTTGTTTTCTGGTGACACCATGCGTTCGCAAGCCATGGGAAGGGGACACTCTCCCATGTGGCTCATGGAAGTTTTAAACTGGCTATCTTTCTGGAAAGCAATTTGGTAACATATCATCTGTCTAAAACACTCGGGCCCTTGGACCCCACAACTCTTCTAGGAGTTTTCCCTAAAGAAATAAACAGAAAGACACGGAAGCATAAGTATTTTCACCGTAGCGTTACTTATTATCGTGGAAATATGCTAACGATAATAGAGAAAGACTAATAGTTACTTTTTGGTTTGACAATGACATTGCCATTTACAAACATGCTTTTATTTATTTATTTTATTTATTTTTTATTTGCGATAGAGAGAATGAGAGACAGAGAGCACGAGAGGGAGGAGGGTCAGAGGCAGAAGCAGACTCCCCGCTGAGCAGGGAGCCCGATGCGGGACTCGATCCCGGGACTCCAGGATCATGACCTGAGCCGAAGGCAGTCGCTTAACCGACTGAGCCACCCAGGCGCCCTACAAACATGCTTTTAAACGCAGCTTAACGACAGCGAAATGCTCAATGTATAATATTAAGGAAGAAAATCAAGATAAAAACGCTACATATGGCATATGGCATAATCCCGATTTGTGAACAAGGGGATGGCACTACCCAAGCTTCGCGGCACTAGGACCAGGGGCGATTTTGCTTATTGTGACTCTTCTTGCCCCTAGCTGCACCCCCCGCCCCCGCACACACACCCCAGGCCTGTAAGGAATCCACGCACATGAGAAGCCTGCGGGACAAAATGCACAATGAAGACAAGGGTGGGTGGTGAGCAAAGTCCAGAGTCGGGAAGGGCTCAGGGTCACTAACGTGCTGGAAAATGAAAGCTCCGTCCACCTCCCAAGCAGCGCAGACACCACCCACCCCCCGCCAGCCCCTTGCCTTCTCCCTCCCGGCTGCCCGCCCCGCTCCAGCCCGCAGCCCGCACCTTCGTCTTGTCCTTCAGGTCCAGAGACTCCATGGGCTTGCTCTGCTGCTGCCCGAAGAGCTCCAGCAGGTTGTCGTAGTTGGTGGTCAGCACCATGGTGCCCCTCTCCATCAGGCTGAGGATGGACTGCAGCACCAGCGGGTTCTGGATGTGCTGCTCCAGGTTGTCGAAAATCTCCATCAGGCAGTCCTGGAAGAAGTTGGGCTTGGTGTCACCCGTACGCTACAAAGAAGTGGAACAGAAGTTACTAAAAACACCCTCTCTCCGCAAGTACCGAGCACCTAAGCAGCAATGTTCTGGTGCTAGTTTAGAAGGAAGGAAACCCTGACTCGTCGAGTTTACTGAAACCCTGGTGGGGGGAGACAGACCGTGGACAAATAGTGATACGTCGGTAGCGGCCAATGCTACGGGAAACAAAGCCGGGTGCTGCTGGGGGCACAGGCTGGATGGGCCGAAGGGCACCAGGGAGGGCCTCTGATAAGGGGCGTTTGAGCAGAGAACTGAGGAAATAAGGGGCCTCTGAGAGCGCGTCCCAAGCAGAGGAAAGAGCAAGTGCAAGGCACCGAGGTAGCAACAGCATGGTGGGTCCGACGGTGAGCAAGGGGCCCTGGTCGCAGGAGAGGAGCAGGGGTAAGGTCAGCAGGCGAGGCGACCGGAACCAGATCATGGGAGGCTCTGAAGACCACGGGAGAGGCTTCAGATCGCCCTGCGCGCTGCAGAGGTCCTGCTGTAGAGGAAATCCTCAGTTAGGGGAAAACCAGTGTGGTCTCTGCTGCTGGGAGATCTGGCGGGGTGAGAACGCGAGCCGGCCTCTGGGTGGAGCAGCAGAGCCGCCTCGGGCGAGCGGCGGGGACCAAAGCCTGGCTGGGCCGGGCTCACGAGGACAGGGGAGCATGTGGCAGCAGCAAATGCACACACCCCAGTCTGGGGGGCCCTGCTGTGAGGGGAGCAGAGCAGTGGGGTGGAGGCTGGCTCGCGGGGTCAGGAGGTTTCCTGCGCTCCAGGAAGACCGAGCCTCCCCAGCCACCCCGCCAGCGCCAGCGAAGCGGTCGACGGAGCCGGGACCGTGCACTGACACCAAATACCTCGGCCCGCCCTCAGGACTGTCCGTCGGAGGTCACTCCGTCCCCATGGATGTCGCAGGTCACAAGACCCTCGTGTGAGCGCTCCTGGCTCCCCGCCCTCCCTTTCTGACACTCTCATGTCCCTCTCCAATCCCGGAAACCCTTCCCTTGTTCCCAGTGGGTCCATCAGCAGGAAACCCCCACATCTCCCTCTTCTTTTGCGAGCGTTCCCTCCTCCCACCACTGGAAACCGGCCCTCGCCATCCCCGAGGCCCTCGCCATCCCCGAGGCCCTCACGCCCATGGGCCTGGGAGGACAGGGGTGGATGGGGCTTGCCGCCCAGTCTCTCCGGCTGTACTTCTGTCACAGCCCCTGCTGGTTTCTTCGTCCACTGAGATGACCGTTGTGCATCGTGGCCTCCCCCACAGACCTTGTCCCACCTTGGCCACCCAGCCTCCGGTCACATCCCACGCCTATCACTCCCAAGAGTGGGGCCCTTCCAGAACTTCTGGCCCAGGCTCCCGCCGTCTGACCCTGCAGCACCTCGGCTCCCAGGGCCGCCCCAACCCCATCAAGGCCAGCACACCACTGGCTCGAGGGCCCCGGCCCCTGGGTCTCCAGCCCCGCCGGCCTCACTTCTCCCACTCAGCAGCTGACACCCCATAATCTGTCACCGCAACTGTCCCCCGGACAAGCTTCCCACCTCGCCGCCCTTCCCGCGCTTTGCTGGATTTCCCGGCAACTCGGATACAGCGCCCCCCAGCCCACCCCATGCTCAGCCTGCTCAGCGTGGTGGGGGGACCCCGCCGTCCTGACTGGCCTCGCTTTAACTCCCGTTTAGCAAGTTTTACATGGGTGGGAGCTCTAACTGGGTTAAACAAGCGCCAGCCTCGCTGGCCTCTCTCCGAATGAAGCACCTCACCTGAACGTGCCCCCCACCTGCCCCCGGCGCTGCCCAGCACCCCCACACTTCTGTCCACGGACCCGGCCCCTCCTCCCAGGACAGGGCTCAGCAACCCCGTCCTTAAAGGATCAGAGAGCCACTGTTTGAGGCTCTGTGGGCCTCAGGCTCTGTCACAACTACTCGACCCCGCACCCCAGCATGAAAGCAGCCACAGACAACATGCAAATGACCCGTGCGGTCGTGTACCAGTAACTGGATTTACAAAATGGGCAGCGGGCCAGGTTTGGCCGGGGCTGTAACTGGCCAGCCCTGCCCTAGATCCCAGTTGCCCCATATTAATAGAAGACCCCCACGTGGGAGAGCTGCCCAGCTGAAAACCCTTCCCAGGCTCTGGGAAGCCGGGCACGGCCACGTGGTCGATGTGGCTCCCTCATCAGGCCCTGGAGGGGAGGCGGCAGGAGCTCCCCCGTGTCCCCCTCGCTGGACAGGCACACCGTCATGGCAGGAGCCAGGGTCGGTGGGGAGGCTACCCCACAACACGAGGCAGAGGCCGCGCCATGAAGACAGCAGAGCAGCAAGACAGGACCCAGGCCCCCAACAGTGGCCACCCACCTGCTCTCCCGAGGCTGCCAGCCAGATGCTTACGTGGGAAACAGAAACGTGATCACGTGGAAGCCAATAGTGGGGGTGTCTTTACAGCAGCTAAACTCTCCCAGGCTCCCTGATGACTGCGCAGACTCCTTTCCATGCTTTCTGTGCAGCGTCTCCAACACCTGCCCCACCCAAACTCTCAGAGCATGGCTGTGCTTTAACAAGCTAGAAGTAGCGAGCAGAAGCCCGCCACGAGCCTCTACCACGTCATGTGGCTTCCTGGCAGCTGACCTGGCCGAGCAGCTGCCCGAGGCAGACCCCCACGCCTGCACCAGCGCCCGACTTGAGGGCATCCCTTGGTGACGGTCTCCTGTACGTCCTCCCTCCCTACTAGATCACTTCCACCTGCAGACAAAGCGGCTCTAACTTCTCCCATCCTCAGCAGTTTGCAGGAACCACCTGTCATCTGAAGATCCGTGGATGGCCTGCTTACACCCAAAACACACCTCGAGGACATCCCTCTGCTAATGGAGTATGAAACCCCGCAGCAAGGCGACATCGCAGATGCCCCCGCCCGGATTCAGGCCCCGGCTAGGCTAGCAGGGGCCGCTTCAGGAACCGCGCCCCCCCCCCCACCGGCCCCCCGGCATGCCTGGCATCACTGCTACTGAGACAGGTGCTGTTCTAATGGACCTGAAACTTCCGGCTCATCAGCCCCCCCTCTGCCGAGAGCTGAGCACGACAGAGGCTCGTAGAAGCGCACGTGTTAGAGCCCCAGGTTCCTCGACCCGGTCCAGAACCACGTTAACCCAGGGAACCCGGAAGCGCCTGTCTGGGAAAGACTTACAGGGGACATCTTCCGGATCAGATCATGTGCGACCACCAGCAGGTCCCGGTCCTTTGTCACCTTCCGGCGGAACTCGGCCACGTCCCCCGGGTGAAGGACCTCCAGCTGCTCGGCGGCCTCGATGACCGCCTCGATGCAGCCCCTCCACGAGCAGAGGGCGGGGATCCCCGGGGCCACGGCGGCGCTCACGCCCGTCCCGATGACCAGCAGCAACTCCTGCGGCTGCTTCCGGATGAGGCTTTTCAGAAACTTTCTACTTAACACAACGGAAGGAGAGAACAGAAGTCAACACGGAAAGTATCGCAGCCACAAGGGAAAACAGTGTCTAGGAATATCTGTGAAGCGTGAGGTCAAACAAGGCCACACACCCTTCCCTACCTCACACCACCCGATGATAAAGCCTGTGCATTATTCTCTTCTGTGTATTATTTTACATGTTCTATCCTCGTTCCATAAAGGACCTGGGGACAGTTGTGTCTTATGCATCTTGAGGCCCCCGTGGTGTTAAGCACCCATTTAAGTGATATATATGGGAACAAAAAGCTATCAATTTTAACTCCTTTGAAGCTGTCAAGAGCCTGTAAATACCAAGCATGATGACAAAATGATCCCTGCTTGCAGTGACAAGTAAGAAAATTCCTGGCCAAAGCTGGTTTTCTGCCTCTTACGCACCCGAGCCCCTCCCGAGCTAACACCTCCTGATCTAGCAACACTTTTAACAAGAACCACCCGTGGTCCACGGAGGGTCAGAGAGTGCTCGCCAGTGACTCCTGGCATGCCTCGTCTCAGACGTGACCCTGGGACCACGTGTTGCTTGGAGACCAGGTTACTGTCACTTCTTTGGGCAAAGAGAAAACTGCCTTCTGGAACATTTCTTACGCTGAAGCGAAGGGTAGCTGCACAACCACCAAGCTTCCCTCCTGACACAAGGTTCTCATTCCATGCTCACCTCTGCAGGTGCTAAATAAATATAAGTAACACCGAAGGGGACGTATGACAGAGGCCATCTACCTGTGTGAAGGTGTAGCTGACCTTATTTACCTGGATTTTTGTTCACTTCTGTTTGTTGTCTTTTCCACTGGATCCATCTGTAAATCCTAAAGAGAAAAAGTAGTCAGAAGTGACTTCCACTTCCCAAATAAAAGTTCTTTTATTATATATATTATATATATTATATGAAGAGAGTTCAAGCTGCAATTAAAATCAAAGGTCCTGGATCTTTATTTAAATTAGAATACCTACAAAACGTCATAGACAAAACACATACTTCGTAAGCCACAGGTCCCTCCAACCAGCCAGGCAAAGCCTCAGATGCAGATTCTCCGCAGCTCTGCACTGGACAGAAAAGGAATAGGAGGGAACTCGCATCCCACCCGGACGGTGCAGGGGGCGCAGTGGTGGGTGTCCCTTGCCGCCCCCTTTAGGACTCCAGAAGGGTTTCCAGTGGACACAAACACAAATGACTTATCACAGAAGGAAGTACGAAAGGTGGCCCAATGGAGCGGAGCCAGGAAGCGGTTTCTCAGGGGTGTCTATGTGTCCCGTGGGGTGCGGTATCCTAGCGCAGATGGAGCCCGGCCCCACCCAGCAAGTCTTCCCGGGCACAAGCCCCTTGGCCACGCTGAAATCCAGTCCAAAGAAAGAGTATAAGTAAAAGGTCAATTCTTAGGTTATGTAAAACAAGAATCTTCAACCAGCTAGGTCTCTATTGCCAAACTATCTCCATATTCTACAAATTTTGCACAATCACTTTCCTCCAATTTCCTACTGTAGACAAGGAAAAATCAGAAAAATCAAGCTGAAAAAGCCCATAACCCTACTACCAATGAGCAAGAACTGTTACGAACATTTGCATATGGCCTCTAGATGGTTTACATTTTTCCCATCATTTGAGTCCAAAGGTCATAGCCCACTTTTTTCCATGCATTATAATAAAAGCATTTTCCTGACAACCAACTTTGTGCACAAAAATTTTTCTCTATTTTGGAATCTTTTTTTTTTTTTTTTAGGAGAGATTTCTGAGAATTGCTGAGTTAAAGAATATTGTACAAAATTTCAGCACATACTGGCAAACTACCTTTCAGAAAAGTGGTCAGCAGAATATGGGGGTGCCCTGCCTGAAAACCACCTTTCTACATGTGCAGTCTTTTTTTTTTTTAATCTCAGAATCAGGTCACCAAAAATAATTTCCCAGGGTAGGCGAACAAGGCTCAATCACCTTATGGCATCATTAAATTTTAGAGCTAAATGGGTTCCTAAGAGTATCCCCTGACAATGTACACACAACTGTGTAGACGCCTGGATGCCTCTTCCCACCCTGTTGTGCCCCGCCCTGCCCCGCCCCATCCAGTCCCATCCGGTCCAGTCCCGCCCCACCCCTGCCCGTGGAAAGGGTTCAGAGCTTCCATCAAACTCCCAATGGTGTCTGTGACCTTTCCCCAAATGCTAAGAAATCTCAGTCCACAGGCAAGAAAAATGCTGCTCCCAGATGCCTGTCCAAAGGGAAAGCAAGGCAAAGTTAGGGCTGGTTCTCTACCTTCACTCCATCCTCCTTCCCGATACAAAGTTACTACAAGAGCCATGAGGGTCAAATCTTTTTTTTTAACCTACTAGATATCTTCTAAGGAAAAAAACAAACATAGGGGCTTTCCACTACATTAAGAAACCCTGGATGCCAGCCCTGAGATTTCAATGGCTGACCTAACTATTCACCAATCCTCGGTTTTAACAACCATAAAATACGAATTCTTGCTAACTGACCAAGTTTTGAAAGCTCGAAAATCTCTCCCATGAAAGGTGCTCTGGAAGCTCAATTCGCTGAGTCAAACAGCTCAGGCTCTGACGTGCCAACAACGCAGCTTTCTTAACCTCCCACTTCAGGACAGAACTTGAAACTCATTCCTACTCAATCCTATTGGAGTATGAGATGCTTATCAGCTGACTAATCGAACTGCCTCCCACCCCTGCCCCCCAAAATCATGCACATCCCTTTGAATAGTTACTCCTGGGAAGGGGCCTTTTATCTCAGCCTCCTCTACACACATTGTATTTTTCAGTCACTGGTCAACCAGAGACTTAAGAAATGCCCCAAACGGCTTCTGTGGTAAAGACCTTTAAAAACCTACCTGTAGTTCTTTCAATTCTTGTGCAACTTTGTGCTCGTGGAGTCCTATGCAGGACTATCGTACAAACTGGAAACCTAAACACTGCATTTGCACATCTGCAAAAGGGTATGAACAATTCCAACTTCTGTGGGCTAGACTTAACTCCAAAATTATGTGATCCCACGGTTTTCCAAAAGAACTTATCCCTGTAAGCACTGAACATTTAGAGAACAGATCCCAGCTTGCCCTCCCGTGCAGTCTGCTGCTGGTTTAAATGCTCAAACCTCTTTGTCTGCCTGAGCTCGATGAAGGTCAGGAGATGGCTCCTCAGACGGCACTTCGAACAGAATCCCAGGCTCCTACCTCAACAGGCAGATGCACCTCTAGACTTCCACACCGCTGTGCACCTTTAAGAATCAAAGTCGCCAACAGGGAAGTCCCCAGTGATAGGAAGTCTCCACACACGTGCTGGGATGAGCCGCACGGCTGCCCATATTTAGACATCCACAGCTCATTCTAACACTGCATGCTAGAGACACGACCTCACTTCCTGTTCTTTCAGCAGAGTTCACATCAGAGCCAAATCTCACCAGAACCTAGAAAGTACCCCCAAATCGCTCCTTCTTCTGAAACCAAGGGCCAAGGAGATTTCCAAAGCAACTCGTACCAGATGCAGGACGGACAGCGAGCCTCTGCCAGTCGGCTCCCATACTCAACACCACTCTGTTAGGCCAATCAGCTTCGCTACGACAGCAACAAAAGCCTTCAGAGACCTTTTAGAAGCTGCATCTTTCGGTTTCCTTGGTGACCGTGCCGTCACCACAGTTTGCAGGCCCAAAGCCAAGTTTTCATAGCAACCCATTTTTTTTTTCAAGGACTTATCAGCATTTTCTGAAAGCAAACTCAGGCCCCAACACAGATCTGTAGAAGCAGTTCCTGTCCTTTTCATCTAAAGCCATGAATAAAAGTCCTCACAGGATGTTTTCTGCTTCAAATCTGAGATCACAAGTATATTATGAACTAGCTTCAGAGTAGCCAGAGACTGCCTTATTCTTTGAACCCCCAGCATCCAGCACGAAAGAAATGTTCATCACACTGAGTCCAACGCAAAAGAGAATCAACTATGAACACGGCCCTTGTTATTTACAGCTAGCAACACAGAGCCCCCCCTCCCAACTCCCTAACCCCACTGTATCAGACCGCTCATGAGCTTCCCCTACCATCCTGCCTCCTGCTAACCACACCGTGCACAGTCCCCGCACTCCTAACTCCGGACCTCATCGTGTGACTTCTTTGGCCAACAAGAGATGGGCAAGCAAGCGTCTGGTGAGTGCTTTGACTCTGGAGCCAGCCGTCTTGGAACTCGGCCCCGGAAAGCATGGTCTCGCCTCCCGGGAGGGTGAATGGCCTCCAGGCGAGAGCTGAGACACACGGTCAGGACACCCCAGCACCCGTCCACCCAACACGTCAGGGGCTGCCTGGGGCTATTCAGTGCCAGTCCAGCAGCCAGATCACAACTGCAGGAGATCCCAGGGAGGCCAGCCGAAGACCCGCGGAACCAGGCCGACGCTGATCCGCAGAAGTGACCTTTGAAGCGCTCACTACCCCACTGTTCTCCGCTGCCAACAAGAGCACAGGGATGGGAAAGGAAGAGGACAGAAGTGTCAAGAGAAGAAAAAAGGAATGAATGGCTCAATGAGGGTTCCAATCCACAGTTTTGAGGGGGAAGGAGAAAACGTTTGTCCAGAATAGTCTTTATTAAATTAGCATAACAAAAAAAGTTAAATTAAAACGAATTAGTTTCTATTACAAATTACACTTTCACTTTACAAGCACAAACCATGAATCAGAATCTGTCGGGTCCTCAAAAGTATCCTTAGAAAAACCTCTTCATTTTTTTCTATAAATGGGTTTTATGAAGGGAGATGAGAGCTCTTGAGTTGTGTAGCACCTGGTTACGGGGAAGAGGGCTGAACTTAAGATGTATACACAAAATACACTCCTCTCACACAGAAGGGGAGGGGATGCTGCAAATATCTGCTGAAGTTTCCAGATGTTAGCTTTTACTTCACCTGTAGTCGATCCCTAGAGTGATGGAATGAGATGCTCCCAGAACATGTGGAAGAAGTCTGACACTGGTCACCATAAGTGACTGGCAGCAGGGCACGCCCTTGTAGAACATACTAGCAAGAATACCACCTGCTACAGTTACACAGTAACCCACGCTGAGAAGCAATGTATCGATGTGCTGCTCACAGAAGACAGAAGACTGGGGGAGCGGTGGGGGGACGGGTTAGAGGCACCCTGCATGCTTGAAAATCTGCGTCTCACTTTTGACTCCCCAAAAAACTGAACTACTAATAGCAAGAGCCACAAGGGATCACTTTTTACTGAGACACAAAATTTACAGAGAGATGAACCGTTCACGGGGAGATTAGGGCACGACATTTCAGGCAGATCGGGCAGTCCTCGACCTCCCCACACGTGCAACAGGCATTAGCTACAAAATAAGGACAGCCGGACAGGGTTACTGCAGTCAATTTTATGCAGTTACGTTTTAATACTTCATCTCTACGTTTGTTTACATTTTCTCTCCACTGAGAACAAAGTCATGTACAGTCTATAAATTTTGATGAATTTTAACTTTTTTATAAGATTTGTGTAGACTTTATAGTAGTAAATGATAAAACAGACTAGTATCTACAAATACCTTACGCATTCATGATATACCTTTTTCTGAATGTTTTAGTTCAAGGTTATGCAGCTTGTCTGTTTTTTTTTTTCAAATTGTCGCAAATCTCAAAATAACGTCCAACAGATCTACTGAAAACAATCTGTGTGTAAGTGGACCCACACAGTTCAAATCCATGTTGTTCAAGGGTTGACTGTTATTAGTATTAAGTGTAATCCATGGAACCAGTGTGGTTCCTAAGGACTGGGATGTCCTACAAGGAGGCCAAAACCTAGCCATTGTACTCTCGCTCCACCAAGGCAGGCCTGGAGCCCTGGGAAGCATAAAGAAGTCTTTTCCCGGTGCAGGTCCCCCTACAGCACACTCC